GGCCTTTAAGGGGTCCGGGGCCGGGAGGGGGGCAATAGAGTTTCCCTGGTGTTGGCCAGAGTGGCCACCAGGGAAAGCTGGGGAGGGCTAGCCTCCCACTAGTTCGAATTAAGGGGCTACACACCCCTTAATTCAAACTAGTAAGTTCTAACTAGGCTTAGTCCTCGTAGAATGAGGATTACCTAGTTCGAAGTAAGCGCTCTGCTAGTTCGAATTAAGTTCGGGAGGGGGGCAATAGAGTTTCCCTGGTGTTGGCCAGAGTGGCCACCAGGGAAAGCTGGGGAGGGCTAGCCTCCCACTAGTTCGAATTAAGGGGCTACACACCCCTTAATTCAAACTAGTAAGTTCTAACTAGGCTTAGTCCTCGTAGAATGAGGATTACCTAGTTCGAAGTAAGCGCTCTGCTAGTTCGAATTAAGTTCGAACTAGCGGAGCACTAGTGTAGCGCCTATCAAAGTTAATTCGAAATAACGTCCGTTAGTTCGAATTAACTTTGTAGTGTAGACATACCCATGGGTATCCAGTAGGCTAGGCAGGGGAAGCTTTGCCTTCCTAAATCTCCAGGCATGGCCCAGCCCACACTCTTCCCCCAGAACACCTGCTCTGGGTGGGGAGACCAGAGCCATGCACCCTTCTCCCTCCCCCGGTGCTCTAGGGCTGGGGCTGTGCCATGCAGCCTCCTCCCTCCCCTGGTGCTGGGAGGTTAGGCCTCGCCATGTGTCCTCTTCCCACTACAGGATCAGGGAGGCTGGGCTGAACATGTGCCCACCCACTCCCCTTCCCATGGCTGGAGGTGGGCATGTATGCAGCAGAAAGGGCAGGGCTGGAGGTGGAGCTGGGGGCTTGCCTCCTCCAGTCCTATCTTCACCAACTGCCCATGTTTATTCTGCAGTTTAAAAAGTGACGAGGAACCTCTCCCAATACACGCCCATTCTGAGCTCCAGAAGGGTCAGTCCATGGTATCTCCAAAGAGGGGCAAAGTTAGAGGTACAGTCCTTCCCAGTACTCAGAAGCATAATTCAGAGTATAGTGTAGTTCCTGGCAAGACTCCCCAAATCAACACCAGCTACATCAGCATAGAGTTCAGGCACTACCAGCTCAGGCACCTGGAGCACCACTTGGTCATTGCTGCTCTTGGCTGCTATTTGCAGGCGATGGAGCAATTCCGCAGGTGACGGCCGCTCTGTCGCACCCCACCGCCAGCAGGACTTCATGATACTATACCTGTAAGACAGGGGAGGGGTGAGAAGCCAGAAATGAGGCACAAGATCCAAGTTATACTACAAAGGAATCCCCATCACACTCTGAAGACTCTGGAGACGGCACCTCGGGTTCACATATATACAGGCAGTCCCTGAGTTATGCGGATCCGACTTATGTCGGATCTGCAGTTACGAATGGGGCCTTCCCACTCCCTGGTCTACAGTAGACCAGGGAGAGGAAGCAAAGCGGTGGAACACGCGGGCAGCGGACAGCCATACTACAAAGGAATCCCCATCACACTCTGAAGACTCTGGAGACGGCACCTCGGGTTCACATATATACAGGCAGTCCCTGAGTTATGCGGATCCGACTTATGTCGGATCTGCAGTTACGAATGGGGCCTTCCCACTCCCTGGTCTACAGTAGACCAGGGAGAGGAAGCAAAGCGGTGGAACACGCGGGCAGCGGACAGCCAAGACATGTCTGGGCTTGCTCTGCGGCTTGGCTCTGCTTTGCTCTGCTTTGCCCCC